CACGCCCTCATAAGGCTTGTGGCAGGCTTACCAGGTCATTTTGTTGGCTCCAATTTACCTCCCGTCACACGTCCAGTGCATTGCCTTGTTTCTTTCTTTTACACGTTTGTTCCGGATCCTCTGTCAGATGCCATTTTTCTCACTGGGTGTGAACACCCGGCAGCCAGTGGTTGGGTTCCGTTCTGTGAAGGTAGACAAAGGCGACCCGGCCTAACCCAGAACGCCCAATCCAAACAGTTCTTAAACAAAAGCCACCCTTCCGAAATCAAGCCTGCCCCGCGATGACTCAAACAAAGACCTCACGCACTCATAGTCAACACATCTATCAAATCACACTCTGATCCGACTCTGCTTGAGGTCCTCTCCCATTTCACAACCTACACTGTTCAATCATCCCCAGCCTTGGGGGGGGGGGGCATGCATTCAGATTCCTGGAGCAAGAGCCGGTGAAGTCTCTGACGCCCTGGCAGGAGGAGGGAGTGGGTGAGGTCCTTGTCTTGACACATACCCCAGAAGGCCCCATGCAAAATGCAAATAGACTCTGCCTGTTGGCCCCAGAACCGAAAATCGAGAGCAGTTCCCAGGCCGGGAAGCGAAATATGTAATTTGGATGGGGCTTGTGTTCCGATTGCGCAAGCACTGGATTCTACCTATGACATGGACTCCTGGACTTGACGTCAAGTAGGCAAGAGTTGCACTCATGCGGGAACCAGCTGAAACCGCACAAGAGGTTACGTGGCAACATCCTTTCGTGATCATAGTGGCGCCGGCATCAACTCTCCACAGAGTGAGTCTATAGCACCAAAGCATGGTGCGGCCTGGGTTTGTGTCAGAATAGGGATGTCGGGTACATGGGCGTTGCTCACATCCTGTAAAATGGTTGGTTTGCTTTGGTTTTCCCTTTCGGTACCAAAACGGGGTCCGAATCCCATTTTTGCTGGCATGCCCTCCCTTCTCCAGGCTGCCTGGCTGGGGCAGTGGGGCAGCCACTTCCCCCTGGGGGCCTTTCTAGCATCACGCCTAGAGGCTGGGAAATGCTGCAGGTTTTGCAGGGTTTCACATGGTTTTACAGTGTTCCTTGGTTGTTTGCAAGGGTTCGTCATGCCGGCGTCGCTTCAAAACTCCCACAGAATGTGGGGCAACTTGTAAACCTGCGCGCTCACCCGTGCGGTCACACGTGACACGAGTAGATTAGAATCGAATTCGGCGGAGCAGCGGGCGGCATGGTGCTGCCTTGGGAGCATTCGCAAAAGAGCCTTTTGTTGACTCGTTGACCTCTGACATGTCTCAAAAACAACACGCTCCACGCGCCAGGGATCCCGTGGCCCTTGGTGGGCCCGAAACCATTTCCCTGCATATCAGAGTAATCAAGTGACCATGGCCGAGGCACCTTGAGGAATGGTCGCCGGGAGGGATGCAGCATGGAGGTCCCCCCACCCCGCTCCACTCCCGACAGCTCCGAACCTCAAAGCAATGACCAAGCCGCTAGTCTTAAACAAATGGCATTGCGTCCACTTCTTTTTCCAGCGGCCCATCTTCTACCCAGTTCTTTGGAAAACCCTATTCGAGGTGACACACGCGGGAAGGGGGAATCGTTTGCGAAGCACATGCGTTACGCGACAGTTCTTCGGATTGGGACCACATTGACTGGTGGCGTCAACAGGTTCTTTCTGCATTTAGATGGGGTCTTGCCGTTTGCTCAATCCCCCTTGACCCCCGCTGTTTGGTGCCAACAGGCGTCCCCGTATTCAGGCCAATTTGAACATCACTGTTTAGACCAATTTCGGGTAGGTTTACTCGCAAAATGTTTGAAGCGAGCAGCTGGGCCTGTCAAACTGGGCAAGCCTTTTGGATGGTTTTGAAAGGAAGCCAAGATGACACTTGTCTCTTTGGAGGGTGCCCAATTATGAGCAACACCCACAAACCCTGGCAAAAGCAGAGAGAGAGAGAGAGAGAGAGAGAGAGAGAGAGGTAGGGGAGCTCCTTGCCTTTGTTGTTTGGTGTGACCTTTCACTTTTCACCTCTCTGTCCAACAATCGGGCTTCGCAAAAGGACCATCGTCGTCCAAAACCCTCCGACCTCAACTTCTATCTTTGGAGGGAGGCTCCCAATTATTTTCTTCACGGCGCTCACGCTCAGAAAGCCATCCCCTTGGACTCTTCGCTTGGATCTGAGAACGGACCGCCCCAGGCGCATAGGTGGCCTTTTCGGTTGTCTTGGTAGAAAGATAGATGGCGATTCCTGGTTTGCCTGGTGGTTTATTCAGCTACCAGGGATATCCATCTATTTGCCCCAAAAGGACACCTATGCCCAGGCGTGTCTCTCTCTCCCCCCCCTCCGCCTTGCCCGGTGAGCCACTTTGCGCCAGGTGCTGCTCCTGGAGGGCTTCGCCTCGCGCCAGGCGTCTCGTGCCGGTTGAGGGTTTCTGAGGGTTCCCGGGAGGTCTGACCGACTGACCGCCCCGATGTGGGTGGAGCGAGGAAAGAGCTGAGATCTGAAAGTGGGCTTCTTTCTTTTTTCTTTTTTCCTGGAACGCCATGTCTGCCGACTGCGTCGCTGTGAAGCGGGGGGCAAACTTCCAGGTCCTACGCCGCCCAAGTCCGAGGCTTCTCACCGGAACACAGTTATCGATGCTCAATAAAATGATCAGACCCAGGTGAGAGGAGGGGTCAAGAGGGTCCTTGGTCCACCAGGATGTAGCAGTCAAACTCATCTCCGGTTTTTTGCGTCTGCCACCTCCCAACTTTTCTCAAAGCCCAGCACCTGAATTGGCGTAGTCAAGCTGCAGAATTGTCCTAGGCAGCATGTAAGCCATGTGGCCATGGCTTCAGCTGAAGGATTTTCGCTCGGGTCCCGCCAGGTGGCGGATCCTCCGCCGATCCTTGCCAGGGCAGAGGCTGGGTTTTGTACGGATTGGCCAAATCCTCCGCGCAGCCGGGACGGATGAAACCTACCTGTAGGAAAACCAAAAAGCCAAACTCTTTACAACCTTGTCCATCCACATGTGCTATTGTGTCAAAGCCAAAACCCGCAATATTTTAAGTATGGAACAAGGAAGAACAACTGATTCACACTGGGTTAGTGGTTTCTTCAGTTGCAATATCTGGTGATTGATGTCATGATGGCCTGAAATCACAAACGCTTGACTCGATACGGATGGCTGCCAGTAAGACATGTGGATGGACAGAATCCTGCAGAAGTGGGTGGGGTTCCGGGGTTCCTACTTGTCAACTGGTCCAATCACAGTATCCTTTGCAAAATTACACCAGCCTCGACCCCAAACAGGAAAAAACATGACAGGTCTGTATAACCCAAAAAAGGCTTGTCTCCTTCATGCAAGGTGCGAAATTGAGTAGCTTCGGTGAGCAACACATAGTTACAATCCGTCCATGTATGTCCCCCTTTTTTGGGAAGAGGACACATCGGGTCCATCCATCTCCTTGACGCCGGGTAACAGCATCGATGTTGTTCATCGACTTCGAAGGGAAAAATGCCATGTCAATGCCATGTTCGAGAGTGAAGGCCCCGGGGATTCGGGGTGAATCAAGCATTTGGTGGCCGTCTCGCTACTCTGCTGAAACTTGCACATCAGTCTCAGCAGCTTGCGGCCGAGACTGGACACATGCCACTTCTGGTTGCTATCTTCTTCTCGAGCTCGGCTAAATGTCTTGCCACAAGCAAAGCAAGAGAGCACTTGCATAAACATGCAGACTGCGCCTTGTAGCGTTACGGCCGGGACGCGCGCCTTTGTCACCCGGCGCAGCTCCAGAAAATCCTCAGTGTTTGAGCCGGCAGTAGCTTGGTCATCCACGCCTTCATCTCTGTCGTGTCCAGCGCGCCGCATGCTCCCAAGATGGATGGCTTTGCTCCATGCGCCCAACGCCGCTCCATTCTGGAACAAGCTTGGCTTTGAACGTCAGCTCCAGCCCTGCTCCATCTCGGAAACGTATGTCAATGCTGGCTGCACAGTGGACACGGCCGTCATTCCAATGCACGCCGCTGACAACAACTTCTGGGCCTTGCGTTCACTCAGCTCCAGCAGCACTGTACTCAACTCGCCGGGTTGAACCGTTTCCAAGTTGTCAAGGTCAGCGAAGTAGGTTGCCAGGAAAAGGCTCCTATGCATCAACCAAGATTTTCGAGGAGAACTCGACAAGTGCAGGGACGATGCGAACAACTCTTACGAGCTAATGGTTTGGCTGGGGACCCGACTCACCCAGGCTTTACTTCCAGGACAATTCTTTCTGGAAACCGGTCAGGAAAAACCTTGGAGCTCGGGCCCCCTCCTTACGATGAAACAAGATGATAAGTACGCCTGCTACTGTGTGTTCGCTCGTCCCTCTCTGCGATAGGACCAGATCTCCAAGAGCAAGTAACCAGGAAACCACCAAGCCAGGAAGCCCCTCTGCCATTGGCGAAACAGCTCTTGTTGATGGGACCCAAAAAGAAACCATCAAACACGGCGGCGGCGTTAGCAACTCTTTTTGGATTATACAGCCACCGAACATGTGTCGAAACATGGCCATGACCTTGTGTCCTTGTTGCAATCACCACATTGAGCACCAGAGCTGCCATTCCGTAATGTTGCTGGGAGGTCGCCACGCACGCAGAGTGTCCAGCAGCACCGAAACCTTTTGCTTGAACGGGTCGGAATCGATGTTCAAGGCGTAGTGGTGTCGTCAAAGAAGAAACGGATGGGCCATGTCTGTAGCACGTGTTGAGCGATGGTCTTGATGCTATCAGCACATCCCTCCAGCTTGGTATCCCGACAAGCCACGTATGCTGCGAGCAAGTAAATCGGAATCTCGCCCGGAGCTGCAGAATTCAAGTCGAGATCTCGGAAAAGAACGTTGATTGCGAGAATGAAATGGAATTGCTCGGATTTCCAAAAATACTTACTGCGGGAGGCTAGCACAAGCGCCATGAAAGACAGCTCACGTTGAACCTCTTGGGTGTTCCTCAGAGAATGGCGCCTTACGACGTCCGCCATGAAAACCCTTGAGCCCTCGCACTTGCGCGCCCTGGGCAGTTTCGGACACGTGCAAAACATCAGCGTCCATATTGCGGAATATGTGGAAAACAAGGCTGGGAAATCTGTCTTCAACCCTTCTGTCAGGAGGCAACGAGATATGTCAAAGCTGCGACCTTGGCATCACGAAGGTGTGAAATGCTTCAGCAAAATGCGTTTGTCAGTGGGACTGGATTACATAGGTTGCAATGAGGAAAAAGCGTGACTAGCTAAACGAAATTCTGGATATGATTTTGGCCGAGCCAGCATAGTGGGAGAATCTGACCAGTGTCTGGCACACACAGGGAGACAAGCAGGAGACACGAATCGGAGACAGCGTCTCAGCATCTGGCATCCAAGCGCAGAGATGGGGGAGACGCAGAACTGACAAGCGGGAGCCACGACCCCGGAGCCAGCGTCACAGCGTCTGGCATCTGACCGCAGAGACTACAAGCAAGAAACACAACCCCGGAGCCAGCGTCACAGCATCTAGCATCTGGTCTCTGACCGCAAGACACAGCCGGCATCACAGCATCTGGTATGTCACAGCATCTTGCATCCACATACAGGGAGACAACTGGGAGGCATCTGACCGCAGGGACTGGGAGACAAAACAGATCTGGCATCTGACCAGGAGACAGGCGGGAGACACGACCCCGGAGCCGCAGAGACCATTCTCTATACCTCAAGTTAAAACCCCAATGCTTCGCTGTTGGGGGAACAAAGAGAAGAGACCACACAGCTTGGGTCGGGGGGTTCAGGTTGCTTCAATGACACCTGTTTTGGGGGGTCCCCATCACATGCTTGTTTGTTGGGACACATTTTCGAATTTTTGCTTATGGTGGTTTAGTCGTTAAAATCCAACCACTGAGCTGCTATTTAAAACATATAAATGAAAACAAAGAACTGCGAACATTTGAAAAAGAAGAAAACAACTGCTATTCTTTACATGTTTGCTCCCCTTCCAACGTCAAGCAGGAAATCAGTCCCCATGTCAGAGCATCCGTCGAGGTTTGGGCCTCCATGCCGGTGGAGCAGCAGCAGCTGTCCCTGGCCCGGCTAGGCGCGCCGAAGCGCTTCGGTGCTTCGGCGCTTCGGAGTCGTGGTGCTGCGTTCGGGTTGGTTTGGGGCTCCTTTCAGGGAAGCCAAAAAGAAAGCCACCGTTTTCTCGTTGGGGACTCTTTTTTTTTTGGGGGGGGGGGGAGCATAAAAGGGAGTCATCTTGTCGGGGAAAGAGAAGGATGGTTTTTCCAACATCGGTTTACCCTTTTAGCTCGTTCAGTGGGATGACAGTATATAGCCACTATATATATATATATTAGGGGGAGAGTTGGTCTGCGGGGAAACCAAAAAGAAAGCCGCCCAGTTTGGGGTCTCTCTACCGGAGCCAACGAAACAGATGGAGGTTTCCAGTTGTGGCCCCATAAAAAGCAACCCCCACAAGGGTGCTCTCAAAAGAGTCGCGCGCATGCGGTTCCCTTAAATGAGAATAAAGCTATCACATCAATATGAGGCACGATTCCGATTTCTCAACTTGTCCCATACGGATCGATGAATCTTCAGGTATGAAGTACAGTTTTCTCGACCTATTTTAACGCCTCCGGCTCAGCCGCCGACATTAGGCCTGTTTTCCATTTTGCGTCCCTTTGGAATTGCCCCTCTAAGATCTTTGCCCCCCTCTCCCTGTTGAGATCCTTCCCCCCCGTTTCCCTCTAACGCCTTTCCCCCTGAAATCTTCTCCCTTTTTCCTCCCTAACAAATTGTCTCCCTTCCCTGTTGAGACCCTTTCCCCCTTTTCCCCCCTAAAGCCTTCTTTTTTTTCCCCTAAGGTCTTTCCCCCCCCGAGATCTTCTCCCTATTCCTTGAGATCCTTTTTCCCCTTTCCCCCCTTAAGGCCTTTTCCCCGCCAGACATTCTCCCTTTTCCTCCCTAAGATCTTTCGCCCCCTTTCCCTGTTGAGATCCTTTCCCCCCTTTCCCCCCCAAAGCCTTTCGCCCCTTTTCCTCTTTTGCGACCATTCCCTGTTGAGATCCTTTCCCCTTTCCCCCCTAATGCCTGAGATCTTCTCCCTTTTCCTCGCTAAGATCTTTCCCCCCTTGCCCTGTTGAGATCCTTTCCCCCCTTTTCCCCCTCAACCCTTTGCCCCCCCGAGATCTTCTCCTTTTTCCTCCCCAAGATCTTTTCCCCCCTTTCTCTGTTGAGATCCTTCCCCCCTTTCCCCCCTGAGGTCTTTTTCCCCCGAGATCTTCTCCCTATTCCTCTGAGATCTTTTCTCCCTTTCCCTGTTGCCTTTTCCCCCTAAGGCATTTTCAGATCTTCTTCCTTTTCCTCCCTAAGATCTTTTGCCCCCTTTCCCTGCTGAGATCCTTTCCCCCTTTCCCCTCTAAGGCCTTTCCCCCCCTGAGATCTTTCCCTTTTCCTCCCAAAGATCTTCTCCCACCTTCCCTGTTGAGACCCTTTCCCCCCTTTCCCCCCTAAGGTCTTTCCCCCTAAAATCTTCCCCTTCTTCCTCCTTAAGATCTTTCCCCTCTTTCCCGGTTGAGATCCTTTTCCCCCTTTCCCCCCTTGAGGCCTTTTCCCCGCCAGACATTCTCCCTTTTCCTCCCTAAGATCTTTCCCCCCCGATCCCTGTTGAGATCCTTTCCCCCCTTCCCCCCCCCAAAGCCTTTCCCCCCTTTTCCTCCCTAAGATCTTTTGCTGCCGTTCCCTGTTGAGATCCTTTCCCCCTTTTCCCCCTCAACCCTTTGCCCCCCTGAGATCTTCTCCCTTTTCCTCGCTAAGATATTTTCCCCCTTTCCCGGTTGAGATCCTTTCCCCCCTTTCCCCCCTCAGGCCTTTGTCCCCCAAGATCTCTCCGATACTCTCCCCCCCGCTAAGATCTTTCCCTTCCCTCTTTCACTTTCCTTCAATTTCCATCACCAGCATGTGCAACATCCCCAGCATTACTTGCATCGTCCGCATCCTTGGCAGGCGCTGATGCGGATGATGTAGGTGATGCTGGCGATGTTGCCCAGGGAAGCTAAGGATGCAAAAGCGGGGGGAATCGAACACCCCAATGTTTTTACACAACTGTTAGCAAGCCCCTTTCGCAATAGTCTGAAACGGGAGGGGGTAACAGGCAAAGAGGTAAGGAGCATTTCTTATGTCCAACGCGCCTGTTGTCGGCGGACTGTTTCCGGCGGATTTCCAGGGCGGCATGCCGACCATTTGGCCCCCATGATAGACAAGCCTCACTGAGGCCCAAAATTCTGTTCGACCCCCATAAGATTTTGATAGGATGGTCCTAATCTAAGTCTCATACGGGTTGACTTGAAGTGTTTTCTCAGCGTATTTTGCATGGTGGCTATTTGGGTAAGCCACGGGCCACGCTTCTGATGGGTGCCGGGGATTGAGGTCGCAAATAGCCCAAACACCATTCAAAAGGACTCTCAGGACGTATTCGACTTGAAATCATCCAGAGTACGCTTCCTGCGCCATGAAGGTGGATGTTCACTTGCCGAGCGGCGACAGTTGCTCCATACCAGTCTCACCGGAGATGCCGATCAGCGAGCTGAAGGCTGCAGCACAGCAGCATTTTCAGCGTCGCTTGAAGCTGGCTGCCAAAGGCCGGCCGCTTGATCCCATGGCCACACTGAGCCAAGCCGGCTTGCGAGATGGGGATGCAGTCGATGCGGTTGCGCAGTCTGTTGCACTGGTGGCCACGAGTTTGGCATTCGCTCTGTATGTCCAGGGGGGGGAGGTTGTGACATGGGGTCATCGAGCCCGTGGTGGAGACAGCAGGCAAGTACAGGAGCAGCTGAGGAATGTCCAGGAAATCCAGGCCTCTTGTTTGGGTGCTTTTGCAGCCATCCTGGAATCTGGGGCTGTTGTGACTTGGGGCCATCCACAGTACGGCGGAGACAGCAGCAAGGTGCAAGAGCAGCTGAAGAATGCTCGGCAAGTCAAAGCAACTAGTTGTGCTTTTGCTGCAATTTTGGACTCAGGCGCAGTGGTGACCTGGGGTGATCCTGATTTCGGTGCAGACAGCAGCCATGTGCAGGGGCAGCTGAGGAATGTCCATCAAATCCAATCAAATGGCGGCGCTTTTGCAGCCACTCTGGAATCTGGGGCTGTTGTGACTTGGGGTCATCCACAGTACGGCGGAGACAGCGGCCAGGTGCAAGAGCTGCTGAAGAATGTCCAGACAATTGCAGCAACTGGCACTGCTTTCGCAGCCATTCTGGAATCGGGAGCGGTTGTGGCTTGGGGCGATCCAGAATCTGGCGGAGAGAGCAGCCAGGTGCAGGAGCAGCTGAGGAACGTCCAGCAAGTCCAAGGGACTGTTGGTGCTTTTGCTGCCATTCTGGACTCAGGAGCGGTTGTGACCTGGGGTGATCCAGAATATGGCGGTGACACTCGCTGGATGCAAGATCAGTTGAGGAATGTGCAACAAATTGCAACAACTGGCGCCGGTGCTTGTGCTGCGATTCTGGACTCAGGAGCAGTCTTGACTTGGGGTGATCCAGAAAATGGTGGAGACAGCAGCCATGTGCAAGGGCAGCTGAGAGCTGTCAAGCAACTCCGAGCAACTGGTGGTGCTTTTGCTGCCATTTTGGAATCTGGGGCTGTTGTGACTTGGGGTGATCCTGATTACGGCGGAGACAGCAGCCAGGTGCAAGAGCAGCTGAAGAATGTTCAGCAAATCCAAGCTACCGACCAAGCTTTTGCGGCCATCCTGAAATCCGGCGCTTGTGTGTCTTGGGGTCATCCAGCCTGTGGCGGAGACAGCAGCCAAGTGCAAGAGCAGCTGAACTTGTGACAGATAGGGGCGGCCGTGATTTGGCCAAGGCGGAAACTGACGCTGGAGGGTATGATAGCAACACATGGGGAGTCTTAAGATACTGGAAGCGCTAACAAGAGGTGAGTTTTCTTTTGGCTCCCTTTTGGCCTGTACATTCCGAAAACTTCGCATCCGCGGAACGAGCAGGCGGGAAGCTGGAAGCGCTTGCCGCGAGGTGAGTTTGTGATGCAACGGCAACTCGCGGCGTCCAGCCTACCGAAAAATGAGGCCCCCAAATCTCTGCCCGCCGTTTCACTTTGCTTTTCCTTGGTGTGAAAGCCAGGGCTTCGTCCCCTGGCTTTTTCGAGAGGGTAGGGCGGGCCTCGCCTGGGGGTGGGGGATGTTTTGCAAGATACGGAGAATCAAAGAGTGCCTAAACAGGTCCGGGGTGCATGGAAGGAGCATTTTGAGGGATTCTGAAACATACTTTCTTGCGTTGTTTCCCGCTCTAAACTCATATTGAGGATGTCCAAAGATGGACTGCTCCTGCTCTACTGGAAATATTTGACCTCGAGCAGCGATTGTTAGCCTCTAAACCCCCCATTGCAAGACATCACTGTGAGGATGTCACTTTCCCACTTTGATCCCAACTCTCTATCGGCCCCGGAACATTAAACAAAAAAACCCACCGGCGGGTCCCGAGTTCCAGGCCGCCTGTGGGGTGGTCGCTTTTCCACACGCGCTCTGTCCGCCAGGCCGGCTTCTTTTCCGGCGCCTCCTGGCGGAGAGTGCCAAGGCGAGCCAGGACCCAGGCTGGCGGTTTTGGGGGGCTTCGGAGAGTTTTTTTTTGAGGTGTCAGGGGAGGGGGTCAGGGGGGTCAGGGGGGTCAGAGGGGTCAGGCGGGTCGGGGGAGTCGGGGGGGTTGGGGGGGTTAGGGGGGAAACATTGGACATATTTTTGCTTGTTGTGGTTTAGTGGTTGAAATCCAACCACTGAACTGTTTTTTTTAAAGTATATTTTTGCTCCCCTTCCAACGTCAACCAAGATGAAGGTGCTGTAACTGCACCGCTTCATGATGCGTGGATACCACAGAGAAGAAGCATAGTGGAAGACTTGGCTGCATTTCATGAAGTAGTGGGAATCAGCTTTGGTCTCACGGAAAGGGTGATTTTGCACGACCATCGGAAACGATCGCCCCCCAAGACAATTTTCTCATCCCCTTAATCAGCCAGATTCACCAATCCCGAGTTCCCATTGTGGACGGACCAGCTCCTCTGCAGGGTCTTTAGGGGGTCTGGTTGGCGTTTTGAAAAGCCGCAAAGCCCCGAAGCCCCCAACAAGTTGCCAAGCACTTTGGCAGGTCCTTGCCTCCAGAGCCCCGAATCCAACAGATAGTTTGCTTGCAACTTATCCTCTCAGGCTATTCCAAGCAAAGAAGCCGAACTGGATGAGGTTTCCAATGTTCAGATGTGGGCCAATGTCAATTTGACACACAGACACGTGTTTGGCGGTGCTTCACGTATGAAAACCATGGTCACTGTTGCTTCCAGGGGCATGTAGATTCTCTTGTCTCTGCATCGAAGCAAGTTCCCCAGTGTTGGGCCCAAGGAACACTTCCCCCCGGCGTGGGGGGGCGTTGCGACTTACGACACTTCCGCCTGCAAATCCACTCAACAAGTGAGAGAGACCATCGTAGCGTCAAGGTGTTTGGCATCTTGAGCTGTCGCTACACGACCGTTGGAGTCCCACTTGTTTTGATGGCTTCCATTTTTTTGTGGAAACCGTGTGAACCCTTTGTTGTGTGGTGGGTTTATTGCAGCATTTACGGACGCTGCGTTGTCTATAAAGGGACGGGGGGAAATCAGCTGCGCATTTTGCGGTGCTGGCACCTCAGCAATCTTTTGGCACCAGGACCTCCTGCAAATGCATAAGTGTCCTTTCAGGTTTTGAAAGAATGCCACAGGAGTGGAAGCCATCGATTCAAGCCCTGGCATCAGCCAGCCTATCGTCCGCACCGTCCCGCAACATCTTGGCTCAGCGCCGATTCTGAACCGAAAGATGAGGATGCTCCTGCGCCTTTCGGCCGCAAGTGGGGAGCTAGGCGAAAGAAGAGGTGCCGGGGTTGGGCCAAGTTTTTTGGAAGATTTGCAGAGCTTTACGTTGGCAGGGGAACAAAAAGGAGGTTGTTGAAGCAATAGGTGCTCAAACATGCTTAAACACTTGGCTGGCCCAATCCTGGAAGTTGCTGCAACTTGGGGGGGGGGGGTCAGCTTCAGCTTCGGAAATGGACACTTTTGTTTTTTGTTTCCCATTAAAACCGCCAAAAAAGGGGTACTCTCAAACAGAAGCACACCCAAGTGGGGCGGCTCCTTTTTGGAGGGCTAGCCAATCCGACGCAAGCAGGTTGGCGGGCCTATGGGATTCACAAGGAAACCTTCCCAACCTCCCCTTTTCACAGTTCCTCGATTTCCAAGGGTCCACAGAGTCCACACAACGTCAATTTCAGTGGACACCGCCAGACAATTTGCATTGCAAGTTTTGAGGGGAGGGGATTTCCTGTACGTGAAGAGTCGTGAATGTCTTCCAATGGTATCACCCAGCGCTTTGGCACGTAAGTGTCCTTTTGGGTCTCGGTTGACAATAAAGGCATTCCGCTGGTTTCAGTTTGGTTCTAATCATTTGGGTATGGCTCAGAATGAAAGAGCCAGGGTCACGCAGGTTTAGTCTTGGTTTCCATTTTCCAAGGTGCCATTCGGGTACCATTTTTTGATCAGACATTTGCAAGTGCTGTTTGTTCCAAAGGACACCTAGCAGGCTTTTCCAGACCACTTTCCTTTTGAAGGGATTGGCTCCGTTTTCCAGCACAAAAAAGCTTCTCCACGCAAAGTTGGATCACAAGGGACTTCTTTTTATTGGTTTTACAGATGCTTTTTATAGTGGTTGGACCAACAAAATATTCACCATTTAACATTTTGCAAACATAAGACTGACAGGAGCGCTGTTGCTGGTGGTGGTGGCTGCGGAAGAGGAGTGCGAGCTAGGCCGAGCCGCGCCGCGCGACTTTTTAGGGAGTTGTCAGCGACGGTTTTCCGAAGAAGGTGTTGATGCCAGGGGATCCGGCCATCTGAGCGAAACTTGGAAATGACGCCGAAACAGGCAAATCTTGGATGTGCTATGATTTCTTCCTCTTTCGGGACTTTTTCATGGCTTGGTTGGGTTCGGGGGCCTCAGTTTGCTAGAGGAAATGGGGGGTGCGTTTTCGGAGGGTAGCCCTCAAAAGGGGCCGTTTCAAAGGGACGCCGTCGCCCATTTGGGGTGGTCCAACATCTTAAGACAAACCCACTTGGGTTATTTCGATTTTGAGGGTCCCTGGTTTAAAGGAAAGCCAAAAGGACAGTCACCAGTTTTGGGGTCCAATGACTAATTTGGCCCAAAGCTGATGGAAAGGCAGAGCAGTGTGTTTTTTGAAACACTCCCGTTTCAGCTTGGTTCAAAGGTGGGAGAAGGGGTGTTTTGCCTATTTTCAACCTCTTTTTTGCATTCCAAAGTTGACGGAGTATGAAGGAGCCTCGGGACAGTGGTTTACTAAGTAAAGGTTTACGAAGTCTTCAGAAGTAGAAGTGGTGAATTCGGAAATGGCCATGGGTCATAACCTATGCCTCCATTTTGGGGCGGATGAACACAATTGTTACCACCTAGTTGATGTTTACCAGGGGTTTCCTGGGTTTTGACCCACAGCCCAATGAATCAGTACAGTGGTCTACTAAGTAAAGGTTGAAGTCTTCAGACGTATTCGGACATGACGTTTTTTTTGCCAGCGGACCAGAAACCGCGCTCAACGGCGTGCACTTTTTTGCTATAACCCTGCATAGCACGCCCGCTCGACTGCTTCAACCTGGCGCTGCGCGCACGCGTGACCATGGTAAGCAGACCCGCCCGACTGCTTCGTTATAACACTGCACGCACGCCTGACCATGGGAAGCACACCCTCTCGACTGCTTCGTAAAAGCACTGCGCGCACGCCTGACCATGGGAAGCACACCCGCTCGACTGCTTCGTGAAAGCACTGCGCGCACGCCTGACCATGGGAAGCACACCCGCTCGACTTCTTCGCTTCAGCACTGCGAGCACGCCTGACCATGGTAAGCGCACCCGCCCGACTGCTTCGTTTTAGAACTGCGCACACGCCTGAGCATGGTAAGCGCAGCCCTTTGACTGCTTTGTTATAGCACTGCGCGCACGCCTGACCATGGGAAGCACACGCGCTCGATTGCTTCTTTATAGCACTGCGCGCACGCCTGACCATGGGAAGCACACTCGCTCGACTGCTTGCGCTGCGCGCACGCGTCTCCATGGTAAGGACACCCGCCCGACGTCTTCGTTTTAACACTGCACGCACGCTGGACCATGGCAAGCACACCCGCTCGAGTGCTTTGTTATAGCGCTGCGCGCACGCCTGACCATGGGAAGCACACCCGCTCGATTGCTTCGTTATAGCACTGCGCGCACGCCTGACCATGGCAAGCGCACCCGCTCGACTGCTTCGTTTTAGCACCGCGGACACCTGACCATGGTCAGCGCGCCCGCCCGACTGCTTCGTTATAGCACTGCTTTCACGCCTGACCATGGGCAACACACCCGCTCGAGTGCTTTGTTATAGCACTGCGCGCGCGCCTGACCATGGGAAGCACGCCTGCTGGACTGCCTGACCAATGTAAGCATACCCTCTCGACTGCTTCGCTATAGCGCTGTGCGCACCCCTGACCAGGGTAACACCCGCTTGACTGCTTCGGTTTAGGACTGCGCGCGCGCCTGACCAGGGAAACACCCGCTCGACTGCTTCGTTACAACACGGCGCGCGACACAAGCACACCCGCTCGACTACTTCGTTATAGTAATGCGCGCGCCGAATCAGTTAATCGCAGGAAGGGAGAGTTTGTCGAAGATGTTTTCGCGGACGCGATCAGGTTGTCTGCCACACTGGCATGATAGACTCTATCTGGTCAAGCTGCAGAGCATATGTCCCGAATTCGCTGCCTTCATGCAGCCCACATGTCCTTTGGTATGTAAAGTCTTGGCGGTGGCGCTTTGCTTGCGCCAGCGAGATGTGGAGCAGCAGACTGTCGTTGCGATCGCAAAGATGTTAGAAAGGAGAAGGCAGGGAACGGGCTTACTCGAAACGCAAAGCGCAACTGAGCCCTTTGTTTTGGAGGTTTTTTGGGGACTCAATAATGAGCGATTCGCTGAGGTGAAACGCAAGTTCTTCAGAAAAGCGGCAAAACGCGAGCGCGGTTTTCGGTCCGCCGGGGTGTTTTTGCAGGTTTGCCAAGTATTCTTGGTGCATTTTTTCGCGTCCTTTTTCTCGGTTTGGCGACTCCCAGGCGACGCCTCGGTGCTGCTCGGCTGAGCTGGGCAGGTGGGTACCTCCTCCACCCCTTTTTGGGTGGCTTTAAACGTAAGAGGCTTGGCGTGGCTTGACTAGCCTGTCTGTTGTTTCCGTGCTTCTTCCGTTTTTTTTTCAGCATGCTTCCTTTTGACCAGGAAAAGTGAAGTTTTTTGGGGTCTGAGTCTGGCTCAGTAAAGATCACCATTTGATCCCCCCTGCCTTACTTGTCCCGAAGATACCTGGGCCCGGTAACCCCCCTCCCCCTTGGAAAATGGGACATTTGGGAGAATGATAACATGTGCACTTGGGCCAATAGATGTTCAAAGGGGAAATGCGGGGAGCCCACGTTCTAACGGAACCTATGGGGGCATTTTCCCTGCACCGTTTCTTTCCGACACATTTTGATTGAAGGACGTATGTGGTAAT